TGACGGCGTATTTGGCTGCTCGCGGGTTGCCGTTTGCCGCGATTCGCTTGCAGATGCGCAGTATTCGACTGTGGTTTGCGACGAACTCGGCTGAACTGTCATCCACCACCCGAGGCGACACCAGTTTTATCACCTTCATCGCATTCTCCACTGAATCAACCAATCAATCTTTCATCACTCATAACCATCATTAAACACTAATACTAATCATACAAATAACAAATACCCGTGGTCATATCCTCAAAATCGAGTATTTTCACGATCACCATCAACACCGTTTCATTTTGAAAGCATTTTGGGAAATGTTCTGCCATCACCTTAATTAGTTGATTTACAAATGCGTATTTGCAATAATAATGAACCTAACAACAACGACAGTAAACATGCTTCAGTTCTCGTTCAGATCATTAATTGTCAGATTAGATCGAAGACGTGTATCTGTGTATAAAATGATGCATCATCAGCATGTTAACTCATCAAAAAACAATAACACACAACACAAACCCGCAGCAGAGTGTTGGCTCGTGCCAGAGCATCCGACACGCAATCGTCGAATAACAACACTCTCTCCATAATCTGATATATTTTCTGCACCAGATCGCAAATCGCCTCTGTATCGATCTGCAATGGTGCACCCCTCTCCAAGACACTTTGTACCGCTTGTGCATCTTCTTTTGACAAACCACTATTGCTCTCGTGTAACTGCTCCAGCAATTCACTCTTCAAAAAAATCCATCAACAACGCGCTACTATTACAAATCAGTAAAATATTACAAATATATCAATTTCACACAAATCAAAGTTGAAACTTTATCCTTCAACTCAAACTGAAATTAGCCAAAGATCTCACCAGAGCACTTTCCACTTTCTCACACGTCGACGACTCACCAAAAACGTTCTTCATCAATTGTCTACATCGATCGTTCCGTGATAAAAATTCGGCGAAATGTCTGAAGTTTTTTGGCGATTTATCATACGTAACGGAATGAACAATACCAACAGAACTAATAACCAAAAAAGAATCGACATAATAAAACCAACTTGAAAGAGTGTATCGCTCTCGAAGGTTCAGCACAAAACTCAGCCAACATTAGTAATTTCGAGTCGATTCTCGACTTGTCCTCATCGAAATTCATTAAGAATTCACTCAACGATGCACACAAACGTCTGATACGTGACTGTCGTGATAATATNAGTAAATAAAGCATGCAACTCACTTGGCACGGAACGAGTCCACACACAGGAACGTATCGATAAGGATCTGCATTCGTTGCGACCGAGTTGTTCCTTTATACGGTACCAAACATTGCACGAACACCTTCTCGATTAGTATCCTGCAAGATCAGCTTGTTAGGCTTGCGTCATCACCGCACTCGTAACCAAGTCAACTCACCTGTCCAGCTGTATTGGTCTGCAGTAAAGTGACATGATTGCTTTGAAGATGACCAGTACCGAGGCTCGATCAGACTTGGCCACTTTGTCGTCGAGTTGAATCGCGCGAAACAAATACGATAAACTTTTCACTGTTTCATGCCTCACCTCCACCTTAACATTTTACAATCAACTCCATTCCATTCCATTCCACATCACTCTCACCACTAACCTTCTTATCAAGCGTTCTTTCCGCCACACACTCTAGAAGTGTTTCGCTGATCGCTGAGAATTTGCGTTTAG